CCCTCCCCCCCTGGACTTTGTTAGGAGAAAGTTTAATCCGTGCGTGTTTTGTGTATGCTGCAAAATTGACATCTTGCTCCAGTATGGCTGTTGATGTGGAGGCAGAGGTTTCTGCCACGAAAAGGTCACAAGTTGAGGTAACGAAGATTCTTCCTGATTGGGCGAAAGAGGGACGATAAACAAACTAAATGTCAAACAATGATCATCTGATTGATTTTATAATAAGGAGAATTATAAAAAGTGCCATGCGTTTTACTGAGAGCTGTTTCTCTGAGTTTACTATGATACAAACGGGGTAGACATAACGATAAAAAAAAGTGTGTCAGTATATACAAATCAGAACAGGACTCAAACACATTAAATAAATATTAAAACCTTCATGAAAATATGATTTATATATAATGATATTAGTGTAAATATACATACATGCGTGGATTACCTGCTCTCTGGTTATCATGTTGCATTGGAGCTGCTTATGGCCTTTGTGCCGTCTGTGTTGGCATTTGCCTGTTCCTTCACCACAGGATCTGATGGGGAAACATTGGAATTGTTATTATCATTGACTGCATCTGATTTACTTATCCAGACCTCAGGTAAATGAAGTAAATACAGGTACGCATTTGTCCTGGTGCCCGACCAGTTTTATAAACATGCAGCAATGTCCATAAAAGGACATAAACATACCAGTGGAACCAGACTTGTAAAATGTGATGCCTAATTTAAGTCAACTTTAAATGAAGTGTGTAACTATGAATTTACGAGGCGATTAAGCTCTTTTCAGTAGTAGTTAAATATGGAATTCAGTTTGATAAGGAAAATATAATTTACTGTACACGTTTCATGTTCTTTCTTCATGATTTATTTAGCAAATGTGGATTAGAGAGGGAGAATCCTTGTGGCTAGATTTGATCTGATTGCAAAGGTGAGAGCTAAACAGACTCTTTAATCTGGACTGATATTTAAAAGTGAAAATAAAATGTACCTCAAACACACACAGCGTTTTTAACAATAAGTAGGAGAGGAGAAACTAGATCTGTAATCTATAATTGACTGGTGGCAGTATTTAGAAAACATGGATTCTATCCGTATGTGTTGGTGTGAGTACTAACAGAAGTATGGGTGCTGCATGGCCTCTGCAGCGGTCAGCCTCTGCTGGTGGTCGTAGCGCAGCAGCTTGTCCAGCAGGTCCAGAGCCTCCGGACTCACCAGGTGCTGGTTCTCCGACTGGATGAACTGCTCCCAACGCTTCCTCGTTTGTCTGCAAAGAAACATTTATCATGACTAAAATGTCTCTTTTTTGTTATGTGAATTAAACAGTTGTGGTGACAATCCAACAGTACTAGCAGCTTTGACTTTTTAAACATTTACTAAAGCAAGGGTGTAATCTAATAAGATTAACAATGATGGTGTTTTATTAAAGTGTGACTGTTAAACCTGCAATACCAGGACACTGATGCGGCTAAATAGAAATCAACTATTGTTCACTTTATAATTTACACTTGTGCTTTTCCTACTGTCAAAACGTCAGCTTTTGGTTCAAACACACTCCCTCAGTTAAAACTTTCAGAAAAAAAGAGTGTGTTTTGAGTAGTTTTCCTTTGCATATACTAAATGCTAAAATCTGATTTATGGAACCAACTGCACATTTCCTAAATACCTCAATTTAAAAAGGATATAATTACGTTTTCATTATGCAAAAAGGTAAGTTTGTTTTTAAACAGAGCAGATGTCCAAACATGGGCAACAGTGGTTCAAATGACTAAAGGTAACATGAAAGGGGAAACTGACCATTTTCAGTACTCTAGTCTTATGACGCACAAAAACAAAAGCAGCTAAAACAATGTAATACATAGCAACATATTCAAGACAAACATGTTGTATAAAACTGCATCTTTGACCAAATACATTGCCAAAGAAACAACTTGTTCACGTATTGTGTTTTATAGCATGTGTTTTGAATATATTTGATTATGTTTCTGGTAATAAATCCTGATACTCACTGTCCCAGCAGGTCTTTGAAGCGAGTGTCCAGTTCTATGTGATATTTGTGCAGGTAACCAAAGAGCTCATCGGTGCCCAGAACTTTAGCAATGCGGACCAGCTGGAAAAATAACAAATGCAATCCCTTAATTACATATTTTGGATACATTGGCAAGTATAAATGCATCCCAATATTTAGTTCTTGATTTGACATTTGAGTGTTCAAATAATAGACTGGTCACCTGGTCGTAGTTGTCCTGGCCGTGGAAAAACGGTTCCTTCAGAAAGATCATGCTGGCCAACATGCAGCCTAGACTCCACATGTCCAAACTATAGTCATACATCTGGTGGGAGGAAATAAAAGAAAATAAGACACCAAAAAACGATTTAAAAGAAGACAAGGACTTGTGTGTTTTGTCCTCATTTGAAGAGTAAATATCTGTAAAAGCATTTACCTGATAGTCCACTAGCAGCTCAGGGCCTTTGAAATAGCGCGAGGCCACCCTGACGTTGTATTCCTGAGCGGGATGGTAAAATTCTGCCAAACCCCAATCTATAAGACGCAGCTGAGACACAGAGAGGGAAAATTAAAAGTTTTACAATGCAGTGTAACACTTCAGCGTCAATCTTTTTTTAAATTTTAATATCGCAAATTAATTTAAAGGTGGGGTAGGTAAGTTTCAGAAACCGGCTCGAGTGCACTAAAATTTGAAAGTGCACAGCCAAAAAGAATCCGCCCCTTCCTTCAGACTTCCTTACAAAGCACCTCCTCCGCGAGAGCAGGCTGCAGTAACGTTACATATCAGGCAAAGCTAAACACATCTAGGTTAGCAATACTACACAGCCAAAGCCACTCCGATATTCACTCTGGTTTGACTTCTCCTAGTTTCCACTTTCTTTTTGTTCTTAATTTGCTCAGTTACATTTTTTCTTTTGCGACCAGTAGACGATGTTGAACCTAACTCTGCCATGGTGAAAGTGGCCGCCTGTTGCTGGCGAGTCATTGAAGTACTGCTGCAATGCATGCCCAATGAGGGCACGAGATACATTTGTGCGTGCACGAGATGGAAGGCTGACAGACAGGGCGGCAAGTAAAAACTACAACCAATCCGTTTAGCCGGGCTGGCTAAACGGATTGGTTGTAGTTTTTACAGTACTACGGCTTCCACAGATGACATTTTTTTATGGATTTTTTGTCAAAGCACTTAAGATATTCATTGCTATCGGGATGTTAAGAGCATTCCATGGAATATAACAAAAAGTGTATCTCGAGCCGGTTTCTCAAACTTACCTACCCCACCTTTAACTGTTTATTTTCTTTGGAAATGTTACTAATACATTTTTTAGGTTTATTCATAATTTTTTTAATGCACATTCTTACTTTAACTTAAGTTTATTTAATCTCCTTTTAAAATCAAGCTAATATCACAAAACCCAAGAAGAAAACCAAAAGTATTCTTCTGACACATTCTTTTATGTGTGTTAGATCGGCCACAGCTAACTTTTGAGGTGTTTCCTAAAAATGTCATAATATCCTTCATTTTGTTAATGTTAAGATGACTTGGGCTGGTGGCAACTTGCATGGCAGCCAAAGCCTCTGTATGAATGTGTGTGAATGCTCACATGAACATGTAAAGCGTCCTGAGGGGTTGTAAAGAATGGTAAAGCGCTCTAAAAATGTCGTAGCCAGTACCTTTCTCATCTGGTGGTCGATCATCACATTGTGGGGCTTCACGTCCCGGTGCATGATCCCCATACTGTGGCAGTAGTCCAGAGCCTTAGAGGAGACAGAGACACACAGTCAACACTGCAGCCAGTCTTTAACAGTCCATGTTGCCCTGCTCTCTCTTTATCCTAGTGGGTATCACCGCTCCAGATTTCTCTTCTCAATGATTAAACAAAGTCAGGACTCATAAAGCCAAAAGGAAAATAACTAAGGTTGTTTTCATTATTGATTGCTAACTTCATTGTATTTTGTTCTACTTGATTAATCATTTAATCAATAAAAATGTCAGAAAATAGCAGAATGCCTAAGGTTACATGTATGAAACTTCCAAATCCTGACTTTTTACAATTTCCTCAGCATTAATCTGCTTACTGTCTATTACTGAAGATAACCCTATAAATGAACGTCCACACTCAGTTTTTTATTTAAAAGTGGTAAACAACGGTGAGTATTCCATAAATAAGTCATTATAGAATTTAGATAAATGGAAAGGTAGACAAAATGTGTTTTTACCTTGAGCAGCTCATACATGTAGAAACGGATATCATAGTCAGTCAGCTTCTGGTAAAGCTCCTGCAGAACAACAATGTTTGGAGAAATGATTAAAAAAAAACTGAGCAGCTCAACTGGTGTCCATACACAATACACTCTTACTAGAGGGTTATTATGCATTTTATTAATAATGATACCAATGGTAGTTCTACACGTATGATGACGGCCAAACTTAAGTACCTTAAAATCTGTGTTATTGATGCACTCAAAGACAAGCGCTGGTGTTCTGGACTGCAAAGAGAGGACAACACAAGGCTTAACTGAGGACAGCAGCAGGTAGGTGGAGATCATTATCACACACTCACACACACGGTTACTCGCATGACTGGATTATCTCCACTGGCGGGCCCACATGCATCAAAGGGATGGATCTAACTCACCACCGGGTCTTTGACTGTGTCCACCAGGCGGATGATGTTGGTTCCTCCACGCAAGTTTTCAAGAATTTTGATTTCACGTTTGATCTTCTTCTTCTTGACGGGCTGCGGAAGAAAACAGGTGGTTCAAAATACAACAATATGATGATGAAATAAATAAATGTACGTTTCTAAATGGGCCCCCTATATTTATATATTCTCACTTGGAATTTAGCAACATTTGACCAGCAGAGGTTGCTGCAGGGAGACTCTGAGGCTTCTTATTGAGTGCAAATTGGTAAATCAGCATAACCCACCAGACCAGATCAAGCAGATGAAAAAAAGAAAAAAAAGAATTGTATTTGCCTTTTTCAGTGCTGTTGCTCAATACTGGAACAAGTCCCTTAGACACAAACTCATTGGAAAATAGGAGCTAGTTAAAGAATAACTCAGGTATCTTCGAATGATAGCAGTTTGTCTTGGACAGCGCCATATATCTATCAATATGCTTACTTTGTCACTGATTGTCATTGACGTGTAGACAACAAGGATATTTAAACTGGGAAAAAAATCAGAACACTTTTGACAGGATTTGGATGGACGGGTGTAACTTTATATTAAAAAAGAAAAGAACGAAAAAGCCATCTGCTGTGAGGGCTGCTGAGATAATCTTGGTGTGAATCCAGATAATAAGCTAAAAGATACACAGTAAAAAACTACATTTTAATAGTATATCCTATTCAGAAAGATTTTAAAAATAAATGTAGAGTCACGACTGAGCTGTCCAGACGGTTTGAAAACAAGGTAGGAAAATGTCACATAAAAGGAAAAAAATAAGACTCACCTTGAGGATTTTCACCACAACTTTTTCATTGTTGGTCACATTTATGGCCTCGAACACTTCACTGTACTTCCCTCGACCCAGTTTACGCACCAACTGATAGTTGTCTTGATTGCTGAGAAAGAGAGGAACATTTAGCTACATTTAAACAAAAATAGATCTTCATGAGCAAAAGCAACTGTCTCCTTTTTAAGAAGACTAGTAAAGAAAAATCAATAAATTACTAACCTTTCAAAAATGTATAACTGAACACTGTCTGTTTTAAATGTTTGTTTCTGAAAATCCTTAGGTTTGGAGTCTTGGTTGGACATATTAACACATTTGTAGATGTCACCTGGGTCTCTTTGAAATTATACCAGGCATTTTTTCGGACATACATTTTTTTATATGTATATATTCAATAGAATTACAGCTTAAAGGTGGGATAGGTAAGTTTGAGAAACCGGCTTGAGATACACTTTTTGTCATATTCCATGGAATGCTCTTAACATCCCGATAGCAATGAATATCTTAAGTGCTTTGACAAAAAAATCCATAAAAAAATGTCATCTGTGGAAGCCGTAGCACTGTAAAAAGCAGGACGAAACATTTTAGACGGCCCGGCTAAATTAACTGGATGGCCTACCTGCCTGTCAGCCTTCCATCTGTGCACAAACTTATCTCGTGCCCTCATTGGTCATGTGCGCATTCGTGTGTGTTGAAGGAGGGGCTCTGTAAGGAAGTGGCAGATTTTTTCCGACTGTGTATTTTCAAATTCTAGCGAACTCGAGCGGGTTTCTCCAAAATGACCTACCCCACCTTTAACTGTAAATATTTTAAATGAGTGACCTTAAAAGTAATGTTTAAAATCCAATGTTGGGTTCTCAAATAAAAACAAAATGTGTGGTTGACAGGGCAGAAACTCATGCAAATAAAATCACGATAATAACTTTGTCTCATATGAAAGACTCACTTAATTTTCTATATAAAACATCATCCATTTGTATTTTATATACTGGTTTTTGTATAAATATTTAATTTCTGTTTGTATAAGGAAATGCAGTAAAACAATGTACACTTTAAGGACTGTCTTCGACAGGCTGCTATCTTTTCAAAATCGATGAAATGCTAACACTGTCATAAAAATTGTCTCAGTAAAAGTATGTTTTGAAAACAAGGATATATATACAAAAGACATATTCTGCACACAATCAAATTAGACAAGATTTCGATGGACGGTTGTAACTTTTTTACACAAAAGAAGCCACCCGCTGTGAGCAGAATGAAACAATATTTTGAAATGCAGCAATGGAAAAAGAGCCAATAAATAGTAAAACACTAACTGTACCTCCAGTTTGGCACATGCGCGTCATAGTCCCAATACTCTCTGTTCTTCTGTGTGTTGACATCGGTGTACACCCGAGCCTTGCTGCTGGCCGGCGTGGATCCGGGCATAGCTAGCTTCGCGGCTCCGTGTCGAGGACCTTTACCTCCCTCTGAATGCTTCGTGGCTCGATACTGGAAGGCAGCGCAGCGAGTCTCCAGAATTTGTGGCTCTAAGAAGGTCTCTGTGCTTTGCTTACCATCTGCTTTGGCTGCTTGCGCCCTCTGAGGAAAGGCGTCAGGCCGGTGTGATGCAGCGGTGGTGCAGACTGACAGAGCTACGATGACCGAGTGTGTGAAGCCCCTGAGCAAGATGTTAGGCAGGATGGGATGAAGAGCCGCCAGCTGCAGGAACAAACAGGGAGAAAAGAGAGAATAACCTGAGGCATTAATAACAAGAGGTCAAAGTTGCCTTCTGATTTGGAAATAAAGCAAACAATATTTCTTGTATGTAGGGCTGCAACTATTTTTTCCATGTATTTATTGTTTTACATTGATGGTTTGGACTGTAATACAGTTGTGAAGTCACACAGAGCAAAATATACCAATACCGATATCTGGCTGCTTTAAAAATGCTACTATTTATATTTTCTACCTTGAGATTGTACTTATTTGAGTACAAAGGACTCAAATAAGTACAATCTCAAGGTAGAAAATATAAATAGTAGCATTTTTAAAGCAGCCAGATATCGGTATTGGTATATTTTGCTCTGTGTGNCCCTCTTTTAATACTTTTCGCCTCATTCTGAAAGAAAAAGGTGAAATATGCCAACGTGATGGCCGTCTTGGTGTGTGGTGCGAGATGGGAGATGTAGTGCATTGAGTGGTTTCACACAAAAAAAAGTGTTACTTCACAGTTTTACGACACATTTTTATTTTTTTTACTTGCAAAATTATCTTTTAAATTGACAAACATCATATGTGTAATTCGTGGCACAATTCAAACGGGATCGAAAGATAATCTTTCTCTATCCATTGACTTCAATACATACTTTTCCCGAAATAAGGTCCCATGGAGGTCCCCCGGAAAGGGAGGGACTTCGCCTCTCTATCGATAGATACTATTTTCCCAGAATGCAATGCACAAAGGAAAGAAATGTGTATGTCGTTAAAACTTAGTAACAGAAAGCTTTCACTTATGAAGTGTGATTGTAATAACTGTAGTTATAAATATTTACAATACTTATTGTTTATTATACATGTTCAAAAACTGTGATAGTAGACAAATTATTTTTATTTTTCCAAAAATATAGAGAACAGAATGGTTCATCGTAAACTTGTATGTCTCCAATTATTTCAGCGCCATGAACAGCTCCAGTCCCAGCCACAAACCACACAGTATCTGATATAAAAATTACTCAGAGAGACACTAAAACATATGTTCTTTTTTTTAAATCATAGTTTAAGTTTGAGCTGAAACAAGTAACAAATAAGTCAATCTAAAAATGTATCTGCAACTATGATAATCAATGAATCGTTAGAGTAACTTTTCAAACAAATCCAATAAAGTGTTTCTCAAAGCTGGGAATCTTCTGCCAGTCCTGTTTTATATCTCTGTACACTGAATATGTTTGAATATAGGACTTAGAAACTAAGCATTTCATTGATTCATTGAGAACATAATCGTTAGACACAGCCCTAGATTCAGTCTGTGCACGATTTCCTGAGGCTCAGCACAGGTTGGATAGAGACAGTGTAGACAGCTGTTCAAATACCTTTCATGGCATAAAACTCTCTTAGCTTTGTCAGCAGGGGCTGCTGCTGTCGGGCGCTCCTGTAAATGAAACTGACGTGTTGAACAGGAGACAGTAGAGTGTCCTGCCCAATAATATGAAACTGTGGATCCTCTTGACCTCTGACCCTCTCAGGGACTTGAGGAGAGGATGGTGTAATTGTATTCTTTCCCCACAGCAGACCTGATCTTTGTTTGACTTTATCTGGGTACCTTTGTCCAGGAGGTCTGGGTGTCATTGGCTGTTTACGAGATGTTTATAATTGTGTTTATGTATATTTGTGAGGAGACTGGAGAAGGACATTATTTAGAAATGTGTGTAGATCAAAAGGTTTTATTGTATATTTTGATCATTTTCAGGAGTTTGGAAGAAATTCACAAGGAAGATGTCATCCCAACTGTAAATAGCAGAATTCTTCCACCATTCACACATCACACACACAGTAATCCGTTTTCCCTGTTGTAGTATGTTGGTTGGTCTCTGCAATCTGTCAAATCGTAAGAAGCTCAGGGACAAAGATTTCCGATTTACTTGATAAAAATTGGCACTGGCATTTCCAGTTTTTTCAAAAGTGCATACGTGCTTTCCTGCAGTGTAGGAAATGCTATATATCTGGTGTTTTTGTGGGTGTTTTGGAAGCTTAAAGGTGGGGTAGGTCATTTTGGAGAAACCAGCTCGAGTGTGCTAGAATTTGAAAATACACAGCCGGAAGAAATCTGCCACTTCCTTACAGAGCCCCTCCTCCAACACACACAAATGCGCACATGACCAATGAGGGCACGAGATAAGTTTGTGCACAGATGGAAGGCTGACAGGCAGGTAGGCCATCCAGTTATTTTAGCCGGGCCGGCTAAAATGATTGGTCATGCTTTTTACAGTACTACGGCTTCCACAGATGACATTTTTTGATGTATTTTTTGTCAAAGCACTTAAGATATTCATTGCTATCGGGATGTTAAGAGCATTCCATGGAATATAACAACAAGTGTATCTCGAGCCGGTTTCTCAAACTTACCTACCCCACCTTTAAATGTGGTGCTAACATGTCTCAGTTTGTCAGTGAAATATTTCAAAGGTTGTATCCCTGGTGTGGGTAGCAACAACATAAACCTTCAAAAAAATGAAGGATAAACACAAAATAATTATAACATGTCAAAATGCTTCTTCTTTACACTGGAATACTATATGTGGCATAGCAAATACTCATCTATAACACGTTGGAAAGTCCACATCAGGGGAGTTGCCAATTTCTGTCTGACTTGAGTTCTCCTTCGCCAAGCTAGCAGCAAGTTGGTCTGTCTTTCGGTCCACAACTTTGGTTCAGACTGAACAATCTCTACAACTACCAAATATATTTCCATGAATGGGTGTAAAAACAATAGCCAGAGAAAGAATGCTGCTGACATGACTGCTGGTGACCTACTCATTCAGTTTGACACCTTTGCATTTAGTAAAATGTCTTTACATTTGGATGGATTATTATTACATTTTGTACAGACAGAAAAGGTTTGTTTTGCAGGTATTTAATTGTAAATATATGTATTGTAAATATTGAACCAATGTATGTTTTTAAATGATGATTGCACACAATGTTATCCCCAGGGTAACACGAATGTCTGAACCACACTTCATTGCAATACATGTTGACACGTCTCGCTGGAAATTACAAATGTCAACCTCATGGTGGTGTAATAAGAAAAGAAATTGAGAATCACTGAAGTAAGATATGATTAATCCTATCATGAATATCCATAGAAGTTTCAGTCCATCAAATAGCTGTCAAATTAAAGATTTTTATGCTAATATTTTATGGGTTACAGATATATATAATAGTTACCCTGTTTCAAACTTCGGTTTGACATTACCTTCACTCCTTCTGATTTCCATGGGGTGTCAATCGTTAGAGACCAACGTATGCTCCTGAATCGAATGGCTTGTTTAGTAAACATTCATGCAAATCACTACCAACTGGTTTTGCCAAGGTTTAATGATTGGGGTTGCCTGGGTTGAGGGCTGTGTTCATTGGCTGAAACGCTTGTCAACAAGCCACTCAACTCAATGGTAACCCTAACCCTAACCCTTCTGGGAAACATGAATTTGAGTTTCTTGCCAATAGTTGTGGAGAATTGTCAGTTCAAAGTGTAGATCAAAACTGACTGTCACTGTGTCTGCTTGTATTTCAGGAACCTACCAAGGCCAGTGGCTGGCCGGGATGCGTCATGGCTATGGCGTGCGGCAGAGTGTACCGTACGGCATGGCGGCTGTCATCCTTTTCCCTCTGCGAACATCCATAAACTCCCTCCGCTCCGAGCATAGCCACGGCCCCCCGGCTGTGCTGGAGGACGGCAATGCCACCACGCCAACAGATGGGGTGGTGGCCGGCCTGGCAGGGAGCCCCGTGGGCCGAGGGGGGTTTGCTCTGATGGCTCCGAGTGAAGCAGAGCGCCAGAGGAAGAGGAAAGGCCGCTTCCGTCAGTCCATCCTGAGTGGACTAAAGCTGCGACGCTCAGAGTCCAAAAGCTCACTGGCAAGTCAGCTCAGCAAACAGAGCTCCTTCTGCAGCGAGGCTGGCATGAGCACCGTCAGCTCTGCTGCATCGGACATCCACTCCAACGCCAGTGAGAGTGAACAAGGAGCCCCTGTGGACGCCACTGTCACTGAAATGTATGCTGGCGAGTGGCGGAGCGACCAGAGGGCCGGCTGGGGCGTGAGCCGGCGCTCAGACGGCTTGCATTATGAGGGGGAATGGACGGGAAACAAGAGGCATGGGTACGGATGCACCACCTTCCCGGATGGCACCAAAGAGGAAGGGAAGTATAAGCAGAACACGTTGGTGAGCGGAAAACGCAAGAACCTGATCCCACTGAGGGCCAGTAAGATCAGAGAGAAGGTGGACCGGGCTGTGGAGGCTGCGGAGAAGGCTGCGGACATCTCGAAGCAGAAAGCAGAGATCGCCATGTCAAGGTAACGTGCTCACCTTTTGGCAGTGGTGGAAGAAGTATTCAGAGGCTTTGCTTAGGTGAAAGTAGCTAACACTGTGAAAAGCCCTGTAATCAAGATAAAAGTATATGAAATGTCCATAAATCATGACATGGTTACTCAAGCTTATCCACAGACCTTGATGTGAGCAGTTTCATGTTGAAACAATTTACTTTTTCATGTATCAAAGCTTAAACAGAAGTCCACATTTACTTTTTTTTACTACAACAAGGTGTTCATATTATCTTGAGTAACCATTGCTGTTAATTTTTTCAAATGTCTTTTACAGCACCACCTTGTATTTTACAACCCTTCTGAGCATAACAAAATAAAATCAGGTCAAATGTTAATTTGAAAACTAACACTTTTAAATTTGATGTTGTGGAGTTCAATATTTGCCTCTGAGATGTAGTAAAATAGAGGAATAAAGTTGCATAAATTGTGAAAACTGGTACTATTCAAATACCTTCAAGTTGTACAGAACATGAATCAAATATACTTTGGATTCCACCTCTGTTTTCAGCAACACATGTGGGAGATGGGCACCAAATATGGATTTGGTTCTGTACCAAAACAGATTATGTAAAAACAGATTAAGAGGATGTGACTTAAAAAATAGCCAGGTGCTTATTTAAAGCAGAGAGAATATTTGGCATAAACAAGTCTAAAAAAAGAAACTCAGAGTGGATAATAAGCATTATAGCTGCAGCCTGTTTGACGGCAGTGTTTCTACCTGTGTATTCAGGATGAGCCACGCTCGTGGGAAGGCAGAGGCGGCGGAAGAAGTGGCGCAGAAGGCCACGGAGGAGTGTCGACTGGCCCGGATCGCTGCCAAAGAGCTCTCTCCCTCTTTTCACATCTATGGGAACGGTGAGTGGACCGCACAGAAGAGTGTCCAGTTTGAAGTTAATGTGCGCTTTCACACATGCTGCTCTATTTCATTTAGGTGTCTGAAGTGCAGAATTACATGTATCACTTTATCAGACAAATTGATATCTATTATTTAGGTATTTATATGTATATTATTTTATATAACCACTAGCTCTTATGTAAAATATATGATAATAATAATAACATTATGTTTTATTATGTTTGTGCATCTTAGATTTTTTAATACATTGTATTCAAAATGATACAGTATTATTTTTTCTTTTGGAGTTTCTGCCATCCTTTAAGTTGTATTGCCAGATTTCTGCCCACTTTTATGTTGCTTCATTTCCCCCCGAGACCAGGATTGTAACAATTAGTCACAAGTCGTGACTAAATAGCTTTTTTTAAAAGCAGCATATTATGAAACTAATAGAATAAGACTCATTATCTTCATTTAAAACCTAGACAATAGCGTGTATAAGTAATGCCTAAATGTATCGTATATGTGGATTTACAGTAGGCTCAGTGTTTACATACATACTGTAGGTTGATCTCATAATAGACTACAGAGGATTAAAGCCTTTGAGAATTCAACTAAATCAAGTGTTTTCACTTAGTTAATCCCCTCTAAGCCAACAGTGACTGCCAGCACCAGATCCAGTTTGTATGCAGCTTTTCTCTCTTTTTGCTACCCTGCATGCTAATGACACTCATAAACACCAACACAACACACTCACAACATACACACTGATGGACTTGGCGTGGATTAGTGCCAAATCACTTCACTGGTGTTATTCTCCAACTGTTTTCGCAGGGCTCGAATGTCAGAGGCCCAAGCACCAGGACGCCAAGGACAAAGACCATGAGGTGATCTCCACGGGAACAGACAGTCCGGAGCTGTGCACGCCGGACACCACGCCGCCTGTAATAACACCTGATCTCAGCCCTGTGCTGAGCGTGCCCACCTCGCCCCCCCACAGCCCTGGCAAACACGCCCATCGCCCCAGAAATGCTTGCTTTATGCGCCAGAGCGCCGTGGACGATCAGGGTGGGGCTGAGATCCAGGTGCTGGTGGAGGGGCGGGGCATGGATCTGCCAAGGGGCGGGGCTAACAATTGGACTGATGACATGTATCCAGATCGCGGAGGCAGCAGCCGCTCCACCACACCCTCCCTCCTGGAGGAGCAGGAGGGCCAAATCAACGGCCATGAGCAAGCCCCAATGTCCAACCACAAACCGCGGGAAAAATCCAATCACAAGTCACGGGAGCACGCCTCCTCCTACAGAGCGTGGGAGCACTCCAACCAAAAGCCCTCCAAGCAAGCCTCTTCCAATCACAAGTCGAGGGAGTACTCGTCGTCCAATCATAAAACATGGGATCATTCTTCCACCAATCACAAGGCCTGCGAGCATGCCTCTTCCAACTACAAGCCGCAGGTGCACATTTTATCCAATCACAAGGCCTTGGAACATAACATTTCCAATCACAAGACTTCTGAGCATGCTTCTTCCAATCACAAGTCCCAAGATTATATCTCCTCAAATCAAAATGCAAAGGACCACGTCTCTTCTAGTTACAACCCTCGAGAGCATGTCTACTCCAACCACCATCCAAAGCAGCACAACCCTTCCAACCACAAGCTTAGCGAGCATGCTGTAATCGACCAAAGGCTAGATGGCCTCACCGGGGGCTGGACTGCTGAAAGCACCCTTAGGTGGAGCCCGGCCCACTCGCGCCTTACAGAACAGGACGAGGAGAGGATCAATGACTATACGGTTGACATGAGGCTCCAGTGCCCGGACTCGCAGAAGTCTCGGGGGCTGGGAGCAGAGTCCCCGGCCTCAAAACACAACAGGTTGCGTTCCCGGGGCCTTCGGCCGGTCAGAGAGGGATCCATGGACTCTGTACAGATGCTGGACAACCTGAATGTGGGGGCAGAGCTGGAGGAGTGGCCGCTGCACAGGGACCTCACCCTCTCCCCACCCCTCAAGTCTCAGCCCATCACTCTGGAGCAGGAAGGAGAGCACCTCACCCTCAAATCAAACTCAGTGAGTCATCACAATCAAAGTTTAGCTTTGAATCATTATTAATAAATAAACAAATATCTCGACAAATACTGATGGAGCAAATAATTATGTATTTCATAAATATAGAACTTTTCCTTTAGAACAATTACAATTTTGTGCATTCATAAAAAAAACGTGAGTAATGCAACAGTCAGTACTTAATAACATCCAGGCACCATTTGTTCTATTCTTGCTAAGAAAAGACAACATAAATTGTGACATTTCTTTATTCAGTATTAATTATGCGAGCCACAATGTGTATGATTAGAACATTTTGATTTCAAAATCAATTTAGTTGAATTCATCGACTGTGACGTAATATTTTGTTCCACACAAACATGTTGAGTTTGTTAGAATCAAGAGAGACTTCTTGTCCATATCAATGGTTCATGGGTATAGGTCGAATTTAGAGCTTCTGTGTGAGTGTCATTTGGGCCCATTTGGACCCAAAAATACTTTTTCCCCATTGACTTACATTGGGAAAGATATGTCTGTAAATCATTGGATATATATTTTTTAACTTAATCAACTACCCAGTACAAACACTTTAAAAATCCCTTATTTAATTCATTAGGGTCTAAAATGCTCTAAAAGCAGAATCCAGTTATTTTCTCTCTCCATTAATCTGACTGAGCCGAGGAAAACTCAAGTCCACCCGCTCTATGAGCAAATACGGTTACTTTTGCTCTTGAGAGGTAGGGCATTTTGGCTTCATGCGCCGCTGAGCAACTTTCAAAGGAATGAAAGTGTCCCGAATCCAATGCTGTATCCAGTTCTCTTTATCAATCCATGGATTTTCCACATCAAAAAGCCTGGTGGATGTAACATAAACCTATGGTATATTGTTCAAGTTAAAATGTAGGATCTCTTTTAATGAAAAAAAGTAATGAAAAAAACGATTAAAAACAATACGTGTTGCACTTTTAACTGCCATTTGTTCTATGATTGATTCAATGCAACTGTGTCATTTTCTGTCTTTTTGAAGTCATGCAACTAAACTCTTTCTTCTTTTCTCCTCTCTTGTCTTTTAGGGCTCCAGCTCTATTCTGGTGGTTATGGTCATCTTACTCAATATTGGAGTAGCCATTCTTTTCATTCACTTCTTTATTTAAGCTTATAACGGTATGATCTACTAAGACTTATTGATAACTACGGTATATTATATTATTACTTGCTGAGATGGACATTCTGCCTATTCGACTGGAGCCCGCAGCCCGAGTGACGGACACAGCAGAGCCTTTCTATTGTTGCTTCCGGTCTTTTCACCTCTGTTGAAGCCCGTTTCAGTTCCTCTGAAAGCACCGTTCCTTTTCGAATGCTTATTTTGAGCTTGCAACCATAGAAAAAGAAAGTACGAAAGTTTATTTAGAAAAAAGGAAGAGTGCAGCTTTAGACTAGCGTGGTGTATTGGGACACACATGCACGGATGTTCATCAGCTCCTGCTACATGGACTGGAGATGGCACAGGCAGTTTTGCCCATTTTTCCATGACTCTAGACAAGAATATAGCAACCCTTGTTTCCTAGGTTATCATGAGAAACATGCTAACCAAAAGCATGAAACACACATCATCCTAAACCCCACAGACAATTACCCCTTTTGCCTTTGAACCCTTTCCCCTTTTGGCCCCCATCCACCAGTCTCTACCCCTTATTCGCACTATGCGCTACATACAGAACTATGCTGCAAGAGTAGATCCATTTTAAAGGGCTCCGTCATTCTTCTTTTCCTTTTTCCACTACGAACTGCACACACAACCATTGCATGAGGATGTGTGGGGTTTTAAAAGTGCATTTTATATCCCTTTAACATCACTGTTCTGTCCTCATTCGTATGCACTCCATCTTGGTTATCACGCATGGCGGCAGATTTGGAAAGTCAGCCGCCAACGCCACCTTACGTCCAATCAAAAGTACAGAATCTGACCGAACCAGATTCATCAGCGACCAACACACTCCAAGACCCAAGAGTCTAAACTTCGAGGAACTTCCTGAATTTATTGCTAAGTGAAACATATTCGCACGCAAAAGAAAAACACAACACATACACATTAAACTGCTGACATACTGAGGAGGGCTCAGCCTTGACCCTTTGTACAGCCTTGAGACTGTTATGTTATAACCACTAATTCTACTATATATGTGTATGTGTCATTATTATTCAAGTTTGTTACTTTTTTGCAGTTTGCAAGACAGAGAGAATGCAGAGTGCCTCCTATTTATTCATTTCCGTCTCAAATTTATTTAAAAAGAAAAACCCCGACCCAAGATAATTAAACACCCAGGCTAAGAGGAGACGAAGAACTTCGACATTAAAAAAAGTTGACCCCCACCCAACCCCCTTTCCTGCCCAACACACACTCACACACACACAAACACAAAACCTCCCTTTCACTCTGAAATGGCATGCACTGTTTGGTCTCTCTCCCAGTCCCCCTTTTCAGACCAGTCAAAAGGGAAAATGGGGTTTCTACGGTGTCATTTCCAGACACTCTTTGGGCCGGATGAGATTTTTTTTCAGCATGTTTGTTCAGCCTGCTCAATCTGGTGTCGGTTTGTGAGTTTCTCCCTCTCGTCTCTTTTAATCCAGCAACACAAGGCTACACGAGACATGGAGAGCAGTGTAAAATAAACGCTAGCTTTTAAACTCTCAGTGGATTACCGAAACGTCCCGAGTTTATGAATGATATAAAAAGAAACTCTCTGCTACTGTATGTTTTATACTTCGCACCCAGTGGCATCATCATGTTGTGACATCATTGCATGCCCGAGCATGCTCTTTCTTACTCTTTGGTTTATGAGGTTGTTTCAAAGTTAATGTGGAGAAAATAATGAAATGTTTGAAATTAACAAGTTTGGTGTGATTTATTCCTGCTCTCTCAACTACTCAATAAATTGCTTCAGTTTTATATAGGTGGGAAACATCATAACAAATGAAACCGACATTCTGGTCAATGTGGTTATTTTATATATAAACTGTTTTTCAATAGATTTATCAGAAAACGTATATACAGCATCATATAGCAATATAAATATAAAATATCACATGCACTGTGGGAGAGGATTTTATCCATGATAACAAATTACATTTCTAAAGGCAACATTCAGAAGATTTAGTGATGAATACCACTGTTATTTAAGGTTACTGCAGGTAAGGAAAGCACACATTTGATTGTTGTAGTATGTCCTTTTAAAGGAATAGTTCAACATGTATGTTATGCTGCTGGTTATACACACATGGGTGCGTACCCACTAGGTAGGTAAACAACTATCTGGACAGCTAGTTTTCTGCAGTAAGAGAAACATATTGTTTGCTGTGATGACATTGAATGGTAAAGTCAACCCTATGGGCTTAGACAAACACTGTATTACATGGATCATCTGCTACTGAAATATGTCCAAAGGCTGTAAGCATTATAGTTGTGATGAGTCCACTGAACTGAAATAAATCTGTTCACATTAATACTCGTACATTAATGTATATATTGTAATATATATTATAATAAAAGCTATGATTATTGAATTTGGAAACAACATTAAAGACACCAAGAATGATATACATACAATACGATACATCAAGTCAAAATAAACTAAAACCTGTGTGTGTAGCTATAGCCAGGGAGTTTAACTTGAGCCCTGAAACATATGAAATCTCTGATGAATCAAGCATTACTAATCGTAACTATTTCAATTAATTTATATTGTATTAGCAAAAATAAAATGTCTATCTCCCTCGATAAACTTTTAAAATGCCTTATATGAACATACAAGCATGATGTGACGGTTGTATATCAAAAATATATAAGATCAGCTAAATGTTCTTAAAGTATGGAAGGTCAGGTTACCTATTATCCAAAATATACTCACCTTTCTGTGAGTGATACAATATAGTGTATATTATAATAATAGACTATTATCACTGACTGAATTTTAATATTGCAGCAATTCTAAATAATGTACTAGGTGATTAAATTAACTGAAAAAAAACAATGATATATCATTTTCCCAATATAGGTTTTTTAATCTGAATGCAAAGGATTGGGTTATTAAAGCTGAAGAATGAATCAAGACGTAAATAATGTACCTCTCAAAATAAGTGGAGTAGAACTAAGGTAAAAGTCCCTCACAATTTCAGGCTTAATTATTGATTTACATCAAACTAAAGTAAAACGGCCCACCTTCATTTGCAAATTAAGTTGAAACCTAAAATGCAAGATTAGTGCGCCTATTTAACCAGAGTGTGTGAAGACTTCCATGGCAAAAAACAAACAGCTGAATAAGAGCAATAGCTCTTGGAACACCAATAATATGAGGTGTGTAAAAACCTTTTTTAAACCCAAGTAGCCTTAAAATCAACCAGATATTTAAAATGATGTTAAGTGTCAGCGGAAAGTTTGAAAATAAAAAAACACAAACACATTATGGCCTGTGAACAATATTATTTTATATTATAATTTAAGGCTATTATCATTGATTCATTCATGTGTACGCAGAAGAAAGTTTAACGCTGTAGCTGATGGAAGTATTTTTCTTTTGTGTTGGGTAGTTTAATTGATTTAATCAAATATATTTAAATAATGGCACGATGGCTCAAGAAATAGGAGGTTTGTGAGTGCTCTCCTGTACTGAGATGACTGAATCAACTTAAAATAATACAATAAACCTGCTTTTTTTCCATTGTCATGGCAATGGGATATATCAAGTTGCAGTTTTATATGTACAATACCAGTGGTGGGAGAAGTACTCCGATCTTGTACTTGAGTAAAAGTAGTAGAATTTGGAAACAACATTAAAGACACCAAGAATTATATACATACAATACGATACATCAAGTCAAGATAAAATAAAAATAAAACCTGTATGTGTAGCTATAGCCAGGGAGTTTAACTTGAGCGCTGAAACATATGAAATCTGATGAATCAAGCATTACTAATCGTAACTATTTAAATTCATTTATATTGCATTAGCAAAACTTTTTTCTATCCCCTTTGATGACCTTTTAAAATGCCTTATATGAACATATAAGGCACTTTTACTCAAGTAAATACCCAAGTATTTGCATCACAATATACTTTAAGTACTAAAAGTAAAAGTTCTCATTCTGCAGATTAGTCCATTTCAGAATAATATATGATGCGTTTTATCATTATTGATCATGAAAGTGTTCTCAAAGCTGGTAAAGGTGCAGCTAGTTTGAATGACTTTGTATGCTGCAGGGTAGCTTGTGAATTTACTCAAGGTGGAACTAAAATCTAATTTAACACATGATTATATTTCACGTCATTCATCAAAATCTGTAAAGTAACTAAAGTAAATAATTGTAGTGGAGTAAAACTACACCACTTACTTCTGAATTCTAGTGGAGTAGAAATACAAAGTAGCATAAAATGGAAATACTCAAGTAAAGTACAAGTATCTCAAAATTGTACTTAAGTACTTGAGTAACTTAGTTCTGTACAATACTTTAAAGACAATTTTTGCAGTAATCACATCAACTTTGGCTGTGGTCTAGACTCATCCGCTTAAACAGTGTTAAAATAATAATTCAGGTATATTTTGGTGAGTGAAATACTTATTTCACTCACCAAAATACTTATTTCACTCACCAACTCGCATTATTGAATTATTTAAAATGCCTCTTTACACTTTATCATAATTAGGATTACTATGACTGATGCCTTCATGAGTAAGCTGAATGTAGTTTAATTGAATGCTGTTACTGGTGCAAGTATTTTTTTTAATAGGCTTACTGTTTGGTAGATTAAATTAGTAAAAATATATATATTCTTTTTCATTACATGTTAATATAATTAAAGTTTAACTTTTACAACAAGGTGTGTGACTACCACAGCAAACACACAATAGATTTTGTAAGGAGAAGAATAGCTCTTGATGTTACTATAAGGGCTGACATTACGCATTCAATGTATTTAAGGTTATACTTACTACTACTGTTAAAGTTGTGATTGTTATGGAACAAGTATCTGAAAATCGGTGAGGATGGCAGTTGTGGTTTTACAGTCTTTACGTTGCTTGAAGAGAAACACTCCCCCCTACAGTCAGATTGTAGAATTACATTTGCTAAAATCTTTTCGGCTCGTATTGTGGTTGTGTGGATGCCCTTGAAACTAACTCAAAAAGCAGGAAATATATTCACCTAGGGCTGTTTTGGGGACTACTGAGTGTACCTCCAGGATGGAGCGGCTGTAGAAGCAGCAGATCCGCGGAGAAAGCTCACTGCGTGGCGGCTTCCGGTTTCCGTCCGTCTGCAGGAGGATGGCGTCCGGCTTCAACCGCATCCCCTCCACCGCCGGTCCTCCGAGTCCTAAATATACCGAAGGTTGTCGACCTCAGGTTAGAGACGGCAGTGAAAAGCATCGATAAGCGGGTCCAGTAAGGTATGTTTTTTATTTTAGATTGCAAATGTGGTTATTTGCAGATGTGCGAGGCTCCTCTAGAGGAGGTGAATTCCTCCCCGCAGCTCCGGGGAGGCCTAGTCTGATTTGGGTTCCGTTTACAGCGGAGGTTCGTATCGACCGGTTATTGTGGCCTTTCAGAAAGCGGCAATCGAAGCAACGGTAGCTCACAAGCCTCTTTGCTTCTGTCGCCTTTCCTTTTTGTGCTTTTGTTATTGTGTGATGCTGATATTGGGACGATAATACTGAGCAATGTTTATTAATGTGTGAAATAGCGGATAATAATCTCGGAGGAAGTCCAGTTAGCTGGAGCTAGCGGTTAGCTGTTAGAGTCGCTGCCGAAGCTGACAGGCTAACGTCGGGTAGCTACATCCTGGAACAGAAACCAAACCATTAAATAAACCTGCAGAAAAAGAAAACAATTCCCGAGATAAGAAATATAGATATGATTAAGACATTTGTATTGAGTAGCAAACGTTTTAAATACACATTACACTGAAAATGGGGACTATTACGTGCCTGATTGGTATTTCAGGAAATAGACCGAGCCCAATTCAGGTTAAACGTTATTCTCTATTATTTTCGTTTATAGAAAGTGCGTCAGCTCTCTCCACGACACCATACGGTCTGTCTTACTGATACAAAGATGTACATATCCCATAACGATATATTTCCTGAATAACTGGAGGATAAGTTGCAGGCCCCTCAAGCTAGCTTAGCTGGTTTGTTTCAATTGTATTCTACAAGACTTGATCAGCCACTCACAATATTGTGAAACTGGCTAGAGGACCTCCTCTGGATGAAATGTAAACACACGTTATGAATGAGCTATTTATAATATATCATTGTAATGTAAACTGGCAGCTTATCAGCCCTGCATTTCATACTCAGACCCAGAACTGATTGTATGTACTCATTGCAATAATTTGGAAGAAAATTCAACTTAGTAATTTCTCTGTATGTTTTTTTTTCCTTTAGGTATTAAAACCTTAAACGACGTTTTTAAGGGCAGATATAGCACTCAGCCTCTCAGTGTGCTGGCTACCATTTATTAAAACACATCCACCCTCTTCAGTTCAGCACTGAAACACCCTTCATCTCCTGAGAGCTGCGAATTTGAAGGATGACGGAGGCGTGGCAGCAGCAACATGCAGTGGCTCCACCTTCGGTTGTGCACACACTCCCCCCGGGAACGGAAAACTCTCTGGGCTGCACAGTGTATGGAGTGGTCCTGCAGCAAGATGCCTCCATGCAACAACAACCCCAGCACGGCCAGCAACTTACTGTTCAAGCCCAGCAGCCCTCCTTACAGGTAGGGGGCGAGAGAGGGCACAAGTGTGGAGCCTGTGGCCATGACATCTCTCACCTGGCCAACCCTCATGAGCACCAGTGCATGGTGAACCAAGACCGATCCTTCCAGTGTACCCAGTGTATGAAGATCTTTAGCCAGGCTACGGACTTGCTGGAGCATCAGTGTGTGCAGGTGGAGCAGAAGCCTTTTGTGTGCGGTGTCTGCAAGATGGGCTTCTCTCTGCTCACCTCGCTGGCCCAGCATCACAACTCGCACGGCAATGGAAACAACCCAATGAAATGCTCCATCTGTGAGAAAACATACCGGCCAGGTTCTGGAAATAACTCACCAACCTCGTCAGCTGCCAACCCCCAGCAGCCCTCCACTGGTGAGACGTCCAGTGACGGTGCAGCAATCAGTGCCTCGTCTCCTCCTTCCTTTGAGGCCTCTGCACCAGACCGACCATATAAGTGCTCAGTGTGCCATAAGTCCTTCAGGCATTTGTCAGAGCTAACCCGCCACGAGAGAGTGCACACCGGTGAAAAGCCATATAAATGTGACACTTGTGATAAAAGTTTCAGCCAGTCTTCTCATCTAGCGCACCACCAGCGGACACACAGCTCCGAGCGGCCGTACAAATGTGCCGTGTGCGAGAAAAGCTTTAAGCACCGCTCTCACCTCGTGCGGCACATGTACGCTCATTCAGGCGAGCACCTCTTCAAGTGCAATTTGTGTGAAATGCACTTTAAGGAGTCATCGGAGCTCCTGCACCATCAGTGCCAGCCGGAAGGGGAGAGACCTTTCCGCTGTGGTTCTTGTGGAAAAAGCTTCAAACGCCCATCTGATCTGCGGCAGCATGAACGCACGCACTCAGAGGAGCGACCTTTCCAGTGCGAGGAGTGTCAGATGAGCTTCAAACAGCAGTACGCTCTCGTACGCCACCGACGCACACACAAAAATCCAGCTGATCGCCCCTTCAAGTGTAACCTCTGTGACAAGGGGTTCCTCCAGCCATCCCACCTGCTTTACCACCAGCAGGTTCACGGCATGGAAAGTCTGTTCAAGTGTGCGTCCTGCCAGAAGTCTTTCAGCCAGTCAGGAGAACTGCTAAGGCACAAATGTGGCGGGGAGGTCGAGAAGCCCTACAAGTGCGAGGTGTGTGGCAAAGGTTACAAAAAGAATTCAACGCTGCAGCGCCACCAGAACTCTCACTGCACAGAGAAGCCGCTGAAATGCTCCCTGTGCGACAAGCGCTTTGTGTCTTCCTCCGAGTTTGTTCAGCACCGCTGTGACCCGACCCGCGAGAAGCCGCTGAAATGTCCCGACTGTGAAAAACGCTTCAGGTACTCTTCCGAGCTGCAGCGCCACCGCCGAGTTCACACAGGGGAGAAGCCTTTCAAATGCGCCAGCTGTGACAAGAGCTTCAAGCAACGCGAGCACCTGGCCAAGCACCAGAGCGTGCACTCGCGGGAGACACAGTTTAAGTGTGTGTGGTGCGGGGAGCGTTTTGTTGACCTCACAGCACTGCAGGAGCACACAGTCCAGCACACTGCTGAGGGGGAGAGTTTCCCTGAAGCACAATGCATCCCATGAACTGAACTGCTCTACAGTCCTGGGGAGCAAACATGACATTCACCCTCGAAGGAACTTATGCCAGCCTCCGCTCCCCCATTTGTAGTGTATAACAAAGAACCATTAATTAGTTTAATGTTTTTGTTGAGTCATGACTGAATTCATCCTCATTCTTTGTTGTTTATTCATCGTCAATAACCGTCTTATTTTGGAACACATGGAAAAAAACGAATGAAAAAGGTGTAACAATATGGTAAGATCTGGGTTTTGTTTTGTGCGGGACATTATTCTGTGGTTGCACGTGATCGTCTGTTTTGTAACTGTTAATTCTGTTGTTGAGAATGATGAAAAGACCTTCCAGACAGTGTGTGTGTGTGTGTGTGTGTGTGTGTGTGTGTGTGTGTGTGTGTGTGTGTGTGTGTGTGTGTGTGTGTGTGTGTGTGTGTGTGTGTGTGTGTGTGTGTGTCTAAGCTCCTCTGAGATCCATGTGCCTTTTTGCACCGATTCATTCTGTGTTTTTTTTCTTGACGTCACGTCCAGTTTTAGCCGATAATTCCCTCCCATCCGTATACAGCGGCTGGCTTGTGCAGCAGTATCTTTTCACATATTAGATCTTAGGTAGTATCATCTGTTTGTGCATGCATATTTATCACACTTTAATATCACTGTTGTATTATAGGTTTGGTTTATTTAGGAAAACATCCTATGAAGAAGAAAAAAAGTGGATTTGTGAAAATGTATAGCCCGTGTCCTATGAACTCTGTGTTGTTGCATCTTTGTATTAAAACAAACGACATATAGGTAACTAACCCATACCTTTCATGTCATACAAACACTTGACATGTGCAATAGAATATGCACAATGTAATATTTATGACTACTGATTCATGGCATAGTCTACTCTGTTATATTATAGATTGTGTGTATAAGCTTATGTAAACATTGAAAACTGTATAGTGCTTATGTTACCTGCTTTTGTATTCACTATGAATGAGCTTGCAGTATTTTGCAAGACATTTTAGTTTCAATTCCACATGGATTATCGGAAGATTTAACCCGACAAGACTTTAAAGCATTATATAACTCACTTGCCACAAACTAGCTGCATTAGTTACTGTGCGATAGATTTAACAAAAGTAATATTATTTTTTAAGTTTTTTAAGAATTTGCCTTGGAACATCCTCATGGGATCCTAGCCCCAGACGTTCAGCAGATAAATACGAGTAGCCTCAAAGTTACGAATCATGTGTTGGTTTATGTCGGTCATAAGGTAAAACATTTGTGTACTTTGGTTTACTGTGTGGATTTTTATATTCACAAGCTTTGCAGTATATTTAATAGAAGGTTTTTGAGGTTTACAAATCAAGGAGAAAGGGAAATACAGCGGGGAGGGGTGGGATGGGACTGTGTGGTTGTGCCATGGTTGAAGTCCTGGTGGGTCTGCTTCAAAACTTCCTGTTGGGAGGTGAACGAGTTTAATGAAGCGTTGGATTTACACATAAGGATATCAATATAGACTCCTGTTCATACTGTATACAGACAATTAAAATAAACCACCCTTATTAAAAAAAAAAGGTGTACATTTTTTCCATCACAGCCAATTCTACAACATGTATAGTATGATGATTTCAATTAGAGATGCCTACTTTCATCATAAGGTATACATTATTTTCACTTTATATGCAATATTATTTTCTCATAAAATCCCTATCTACTGACAAAAACATTTTTAGAATATAGTAAAATTATGTCTTCGATTGATTAGCAAAATACATATGAATCAATCATTTAGATTGCTGCTGCCTTGGTGAATAAATGAATGTAGGCTAATTGTAGATATCGTAATAAAATATTAAGAATAAGAATTGGCGAGTACAGACAATGGCCAGGTCCTGATCAATTGAAGAATTTGCTGAATTTCTGTTGATATCAGACAGATAAAAGTCATCACAACAACAAAGAATATTTGATTTCATAATCAGCAAGCTCTTAGATTGTTTATGGACACTTCTTTTTATTTCTAAGAAAAACATCTTTTAGAGGCACTATCAAATATTTGATCACAACTTCTTGTTAAAGGTGTGATCATCCAAAACTTAAACTATTCTCCAAAACTTAACATTTCAAGATGTCAATAATCACGTTTTATGCTCTGGTCATTTATCAATCAATAATATATTATTTAATATATCAATATTGATTGACAAATGATCAGAGCATAAAACGTGATTCAATGAATATATATATATATATATATATATATATTATTGAATTCCTTTAAATTTAAAGTAATTAAGAGATCAAATAATTTACTTAGCATTTATGTACAGTTTCACTAATCCTATTATGAGTAGGAACACCTAATCTTTTTTTTAATGTGTGTCCAGCTTTAAAAGTATTTTTAACACCTTGTTCGTGTTGTGTTGTTTGCTCTTATATTTATATATGTTTTTTTTCTTTCAAAAAGTAGTGGCGCATCTACATCTTTAGATATACATCTTGATCTAAATACATTCTTACGAAAAATCGTTTCTCTTTTTTTGGTATTATTATTATTTCCAAGGTATGTTTAATTGCTTCTTTTTTTGTTGCATTGTCGGGTCATTGAGCTTTTGATTCACATCCGGGTGATGTTTACCGCAAGAGGGAAGAGCATCCTGGTTCTGCTAACGAACCGCTGCTAAATGTACCTCCACCACCCATCCGAGGAAATTAATATATCACCGAAACTGCTGATATACACACACATTATCACTGTCGTCAAACCTGGAGCTGCTGCACCAGCTGTACGGAGTGCAACGCACGGCTAACGAGGTGCTAACGAGCTAACGTTCATGTCGGGCGGACTTCCTGTGAGCTCGGATATTTCTACGACGAGGTTAGCTGGCTAACTTTAGCCCCCGTTATTGATCTCACATTTTATCAAATGTCGACACTAATGAGTAGTTTGTAGTTTATACGTGTCTATTTGACCTTAAAATCCATTACAGTTTGTATGATAGTGTATTTCTCGTTCAAGGTTTACATTTTTTGATTTTCTGTTTTGCTAAGTAAGCTAGCCTAGGTCACCGTAACTAGCTAGTTAGCGTAGGATGAAATATCGCAAATGGTGTAAGTCCTCACAGATATGTCTACATTTTAGGATAACTCGACGCTAACCAAGATTATTTTTGTTAAGTAATCTCTTATTTAAGTGCACATTTCACCTGTTTTGCCGGTGAAAAAGGCCCCGGAGAGCCCGTGTCGTGACGGGGTCCACACAGTTTAATGTAACGTTAACTAAAGGTAGTTACATTAAATTGTTGTCTGGGTTAGGGGCAAACTAAATAAGACATGGGTTTACCATAATTCATTATAGTAAAGGGTCTCTAAGCTGATCTAGTTTAGGTTTTACAAGTTCAAATACCTGGTTTCCACTAAAGCTAGGCCTGGTCTAAAGTGATCCAAACGAGAAAATTATGTGAAATCACACCTTTTCTGTTTTTCGTTGAGGTATTTAAAGCTTCGACAAACCTAAACCTAGGTTTTAAACTGAATTGCATTTATGTTTGTCTGTTGCAGTAATACTTTGTCTAACCCTGGGTTGTTGTGATGTGGATAGAGAAAATGTATTGACGATATGAAAAGGAGATTTAAACCGTTTTATTGAATATAATTGTTAACCCTGTCCAGGTTTGATGAGAAAAAACGATAGATTTTCTCTTTTTAAAAATAGGATTAATCACAAATCTAACGGTTCTTTTTTAATCCATCCAGATTTACGAATTATCTGGCATTGTTGGGGGTTTTCCTTCTGATAATAAACCGTTCCCATTCTGAAACTAGGTGTTCATATTTATGTGTAAGAATAGGGTTATTTGTTCGGTTGTGGTCTGTATACACAAAGATAGTCAAATGGAAATAAAATAAATGATTCTAAATGTTGAATGTTAAATGACCAACTCAAAATACATTTGTTGAGAGCTATGTCAATTCAGAGATATTTTAGTTGGAGATTGCCCTTGTCTTTTTCCTTAAATAAAAAATAGAATAAAAGCGTCACTATCTTAAATTGGAACCTGTGCATAAAGAGTTAAGAATTCCTCTTGTATCAAGTACAGGTTCAACACCTTTCAGTACAGTGTTTTAGGTTTAAAGTTAAGATGGTATTGGTTTTGAAAAAGCAGTGACATTACCATTTATTTTTGTTATCTTATAAGAGGACTGATAAAATAGTCTGGGAGCATGGGGAAGCTGTGTTCTTGGAGGGTTACACAACCTGACAATACATTGTGTCACCAACTGGATGTTTGTTCTGTGTACAAGGTCTCCTTGTTTAGTTGCAGTGGTTTTTCAGGTTGACCTTGTCTGATTTTAGCCTGATCAGAAAAAAAGCAAAAGACAGACAGTTCCAAAAATACTGCTCTGGGTTTGCAGCACTCTGTAGGGTCTCCATGTTAATCTAGTCCAGGTTTAACAAGTCAAAAGGTGGTCGTTTTTGGTCTACACTCACTCTACTGTGGTCTTCATTGAGAAAAGGTAGTGAAATCTTTCTTTTTTAATTTGAACAAATCCCAATCTTTAAATCGTCAATTAGTGTTACTCTCATGCTAATTTTTACAGCTCAAAGCATGTGGAGTATAACACTGTAGAGCTGCAATGATGAGTTGATTGATTTGTAAATAATCTAAATTGAATCAGTGCCTATTTTTTCATTTTAAATCTCTGTTCTTTGTGAAATCCTTTATTCATTGCAAAGCAGGTACATTTACAATGTAACAGCAAAGAGAACAACATTCTGTGTTTCCCCTAGGTTTACTGCTTTGGGGGGGTGCTGCCTTGGGGGGG